CCTACGCTTAGAATTACCACGCGTTGCATTACTACGCGTTGAATTACTACGCGTTGAATATGCACGCGCTAGATTACTACGCGTTAGATGTCTACACGCTGTATTACTACGCGTTAGATGTCTACACGTTGTATTACTACGCGTTGTGTTACTACGCGTTGGATTACTACGCGATGGTTAACTACGCGTTAGATTACCGCGCTTCAGATCCCTACGCTTAGAATTACCACGCGTTGCATTATTACGCGTTGAATTACTACGCGTTGAATATGCACCCGCTAGATTACTACGCGTTAGATGCCTACACGCTGTATTACTACGCATTGGATTACTACGCGATGGTTAACTACGCGTTAGATTACCGCGCGTCAGATCCCTACGCTTAGAATTACCACGCGTTGCATTACTATGCGTTGGACTAACACGCGTTGAATATCTAAGCGCTGGATTACTACGCGTTGGATATCCACACGTTGGATTACTATGCGCTAGATTACCACGCATTAGATTCCTACGCTTAGAATTACCACGCGTTGCATTATTACGCGTTGAATTACTACGCGTTGAATATGCACCCGCTAGATTACTACGCGTTAGATGCCTACACGCTGTATTACTACGCATTGGATTACTACGCGATGGTTAACTACGCGTGGGATTACTACGCGTTGGTTAACTACGCGTTAGATTACCGCGCTTCAGATCCCTACGCTTAGAATTACCACGCGTTGCATTACTACGCGTTGAATTTGCACGCGCTGGATTACTATGCGTTAGATATCCACACAATAGATTACTACGCATTAGATTATCACGCGTTAGATTCCTACGCTTGGAATTACCACGCGTTGCATTACTACACGTTGTATTAACACGCGTTCAATATCCACGCGCTGGATTACTGCACGTTAGATATTGAATATGCACGCGCTGGATTACTATGCGTTAGATATCCACACAATAGATTACTACGCATTAGATTATCACGCGTTAGATTCCTACGCTTGGAATTACCACGCGTTGCATTACTACACGTTGTATTAACACGCGTTCAATATCCACGCGCTGGATTACTGCACGTTAGATATCCACACGCTGGATTACTACGCG